TTTCTGCGTGACTGTGTACACAAATCCAACAGACCCAGTTGTAGTAGACAGCCACATAATGTGATAACTTTGAAAAAACTTGTATATGGGAATGGAAGATGATGATTCAAAGAAAAGATTCTGGAGCTAGACTGTCTGCTTTTGCCATATACTGTCTGATTTTGGGCAAATCGCCTAAGTTCTCTGTACCTTTTAATATAAAAAAGAAAATAATAATAGGATTTACATCATGGGTTTGTTGGGAAGATTAGATGAATCTTCCAATAAAGAACTTAGAATAATGTCTGGCACAAAGTTAGGAGAATAAATGTTAACATGTCTCAAATTAGGACAAAGTGGAGAAACAAACTTTAGGAAATGACAAAGATGTATACAGATGTTCCCCAATTTATTATGTGGTTCTAATAAATTCATCATAAATCAAAAATATCCTAAATCAACTTACAGTGGGTTTATCTGAACCATCGTAAGTCTAGGAGCATGCTGAATGTGTATTGCTCTCATACCATTTTAAAGTTGAAAAATCATAAGTTAAACCATCTTTATTTTTATGGATTGAATGAACAGAAAGAAATACATAGTACTGATTAATGAATTACTATCAACACCATTTATTCATTTATTTAAATAAATGTTAACTCAGTTCCTTGTATGTACCAAGCCCTGAAGTGGGCACTAGGGACACAGAGATGGAAAAATAAAAGAACTTAGTGTCATGACAAAGAGGTCCTGCTCCTTTCAATGTTTTAATCACCGACTTATATGCAATGTATGGCACACTTTGAGTACTCCAGATAGAACAAAGCTAGAAGGAAATATAAATATGTGAGAGGGTAAGTCAAAAGAGAAAAATATTTTGATAAATGGAACAAATTACCTAAATTAAAATGATACACTTCAAGAGATTAAGCTAAATACTATTTATGTTTACAAATATAATTTTATTTTAGAATAATTTATACTTATATTGACAGATCATAAATTGAAAAAGCAAAAATAAAAAATGAAATCTCATCTTTAATCCTACCTTAACCTTACAGTCTTTATAGCATATGTATAGAGCTGAATATCTTCATAATACATACACATATGTATACATGCTTCATGTACAATTAACACACATACATATGAATATATATTTAAATGAAATTGAATTACAGGCCGAGTGTGGTGGCTCACGCCTGTAATCCCAGCACTTTGGGAAGCAGAGGTGGGCAGATCACGAGGTCAAGAGATCGAGACCATCCTGGTCAACATGGTGAATTCCCGTCTCTACTAAAAAGACAAAAAAATTAGCCAGGCGTGGTGGCACATGCCTGTGGTCCCAGCTACTCTGGATGCTGAGGCGGAAGGATCACTTGAACCCAGGAGGCGGAGATTGCAGTGAGCCGAGATTGGGCCACTGCACTCCAGCCTGGTGACAGAGCAAGACTCTGTCTCAAAAAAAAAAAAGAAAAGAAAAGAAATTGAATTACAATGTTAATCTAGTTTGTAACATGCTTATTTAATCTAAAAATGAGTATAGGTTCATGTCACTAAATATCCATCAACATAGCATTTAGTACTACCTACCATAAATTCAATTATACTCACAAACAGCATTAGGTATGACCAAGACTGACTTCTGCATAACACATCTATTTCCTTTTCTTCCTGGGCACACAGCTAGACTACATTTCCTTGCAGCTAGGTGCAGCTCTGTGACTAAGTTATAGCTGGTGGAAAATGAATGAAACAGATGGGGGTGTCCTATGTGTGATTTTCCATGCTCTTTCCTCTTTTACCTTGGAGTAATTTTGAAAATCACAAGTTAAAAATGAGAAGACTACAAGACTGAAAGATCCTGAGACCTGAGACATCAGTTAGAGAATTTTACATGAATAAAAAATAAAATTCTTTCATCTTCCCATCATTGTATATTTTTTTGGTTGTTTCAAACAGCAACTAGTGTTACTTTAAGTAATAAAGAATTACTGTACCACCACTTAACTTTTCATATTGAAAAATTAGGCCTTATACCTTTTAAAATGTTACCAACTTGTAACAGCTGTTAAATTGTTTATTGCATTTGAATTCTTTGCATTAGAAAAGATGAACTAGGGATGGGTGGCATGTCATAACTGGCTAACAGTTTCAACATGACAAAAGATCCAAGGGATTTAGTTAATTAATGGTGAAACATAAACCAAAAACTTGATAAACATGCAAGTGGCATGGTTTACTGGTGCTTAGGACGAGGGACAAAACAGGCTCATGGAGGTGTTCAGTGGTCAGACCAGACCTGGACTTCAGATCCCGACAGCCCCCTTCAGAACTGAGATGAGTGAACCACAGCTCTCAGTGAAAAGGACTGGGAATTTCTTCTGGAATATAGATACCAAAAAGAGATGGGGGTGGCATGACAATAACATGAATGAGAATGACACAAATAGGCACTTTCCTTGGGGTTGGTATACTAATAATTACCCCAACATGAAAACCAGCTATGTTACTTTTATTTGGGGCATTATGATTTAAAACTGAAAAAAAAAAAAAAAAAAACCCAGAAAGCACAGCTTATTGAATGGATTTATATCACCCTCTAAATGTCTTCAGTTTGCATGGGTCCCTCTATCCAATACATCACAACACACACAAAAAAATGCATGCACACACACACGTGCACACACACACAATCACACCTATTATCATTTATTGGAAGAAGTTGATGTTTTAAGGGCAAAGGCTAATAACAAAAGCTAATTTTATTAAGTGCTTCGTGTGTTCCTGGCCCCATTCTCATTGCTTTATATGTATGAAATGATTCACAGCAATTCTCCACAATTCTTTAAGGTACAGTTTATTATCATCTCTATCGCATAGATGAGAAAACAAGCCCAAAGAGAGGTAAGTGATCTGCCTGGCATCACACAGCTAGTGGGTGGCACAGCTGGGATTTAAATCAAGCAGTCTGGCACAAGAGACCATGTAGTTAAATCACAACTTTAAGACTGAGAATTGAAAGCACAGAAGTAAACTAACAAAAGAAATAACATATTTTCAGGGAAAAAAGTGGGGGCAATTGCTAAGGAGATCTCAAAATTTTGCAAAGTGAATTTTCATATTAAGCATTTCAATAGGTATATTGACTTACTTGTAGGAATAAATTTTTTTAAATAAAACATGTATATTTACTTATCTTTAGTTAGAGCAATATGCTATAAGTCTAGAAGCTAGAAATATTTTCCTACTACTTGGACTTATTTTTTCGACTATGCAACAAATAAATGCATTGTAATAACAAGATTACTTTCTGTAAAATGGGGTTATGTGTGTTTACTTTCCTCATTTAATATTAGAACTTTATATAGTTTTATTTTCAGTTTTCAAATTAAATCTATAAAATTAGTCTGTCACTTAAGTAAAATAAAAATCTGTGTCCATACATTCCTTATCTGCTGTGACATCTTTCATCCAATTATCTATCTTAGAAGCATTGCCTTGGAGTTGCAGTGCAGAATGACCTTTGAATCCTGACACTAGTACTGACAGTCTGACAGTGCCCTGCTGTTGGCCTTTAATCTCTACTCCTTCCCATATCCAAAGTGAAAATAATTTCTTCAAAGCTCTTGCTCCCTTTCAATTTTTCCTAGGTATCAACTTATATATATTCTATTGTTTCCTTTACCCAAAGTTCTAACATTGGTTTAAGGTTCTAGCTAAGAATCACATTCCCCTAGTCTTTTTCCCTCTGTACATCTTACTTATTCTCCTGTGTATCCATGCCATGGCTCTTTCTTCTTTACAAAAATTCAAATTAAAATGTACCTTTCTGGAAAGTCTTTCTGGAAAGATTTACTTTTATAATTCCTGATAGCCATTGTATTAGTCTGTTCTCATGCTGCTAACAAAGACATACCCAAGACTGGGTAATTTATAAAGGAAAGAGGTTTAATGGACTCACAGTTCATCATGGCTGTAGAGGCTTCACAATCATGGTGGAAGGCAAAGGAGAAGCAAAGTCATGTCTTATAAGGCAGCAGCCTAGAGGGCTTTTGCAGGGAAATTCCCATTTATAAAACCGTCAGATTTCATGAGACTTATTCACTAACAAGAAAACAGTATGTGGGGAAACTGCCCCCATGATTTAATTATCTCTACTTGGCCCCGCCCCTTGACACATTATTGCAATTCAAGGTGAGATTTGGGTGGGGACACAGCCATATACTATCAGCCATGACCCTGTCTTGTTACCTCAACATGGATTACATATTTTTGTTTGTATTGATCAAGTTTTATTGTCACAATGTCATTGTGATGATAATTGTGGATGGACCAAGGAGACTCAAATGTTGGTGAGTGGTCCACCTCTTTCAAGTAAGACTCAATAAAACCCAAAGACAAATATAGAGTGAGGTGGAAGTGGGATGCAAATTCCACAACATTTCAGAGCAACACATATCATTGAAGTTGGAATTAATTTGTGTTCTCATGGGACTTGGAAATTATCATATTCTCCCTTATGGTGTAATTGGATTATAAAAAATTATTTATCTGCACATAGATTTCCACAAGGTAGTTGCTCATTAGTTATTAATATTTTAATTGTTTTATTATCAACATTTAAAATAAACAATCTATCATGTTGTAGTTACATATTTTTAAGAAAATAGTGGTTTCTGATGCAGATTCTAATACCAAGAATTTTCTATGAAAGTAACCAATTTTTTAAATAATCTGGACCAATAAGTGCTTAATAATAATATGTGATATAATCAATTATAAAAATAATAATACAAACCAAGAACTAGAGGAATCTTAATTGATCATTTCCTTAATAAGCCGGTCATGGCATGTGAATCAATTATTTACAAATAAAAGCATGCATTTGTTGTCTTTTGCAGCAACATGGATGGAAACAGATAAAGAAACTAACAGGAACAGAAAACCAAATGCTGCATGTTCTCACTTTTAAGTGGGAGCTAAACATTAGGTACATGTGGACACAAAGAAGAAAATGACAGACCCTGAAGATCTACTTGATGGTGCAGAGTGGGAGGAGGGTGGGCAATGAAAAACTACCTGTCCTGTACTATGCTTATTATGTGGGTGATGAAATAATCTGTACACCAAACCCCTGTGACATGAAAATTACCCATATAACAAACCTGCACATGTATCTCTGAACCCATAATAAAAATTAAAACAACGACAATAACAACAACAACAAAAAGATGCATTTGAAATTAGATCCAGAAAATGTGGTATATATACACAAATACTATTCAGCCTTAAAAAACCAAGGAGATCCTGTCATTTGTGACAATATGGATAAACCTTGAGGACTTTATGTTAAGTGAAATAAGCCAGGCACTGAAAATAAGTATCACGTGATCTCACTTATAAGTGGAATCTAAAAAAACTTGATCTCATAGAAGTAGAGAATAGAATGGTGGCTACCTATGTCTGGGGGTAGAAGCCTTGGGATTAGGAGAGATTGGGCAAAGGTTACAAAATTTCAGTTAAACAGGAGGAGTAAGTTCAAGAGATCTATTGAACATCCTGGTGACTACAGTTAATGACAACATACTATGTATTTAAAAATTGTTAAGAGAGTAGATCTTAAGAGTTTTCACCACAAAAAATAAACATTTGAAGTGATGTATATGTTAATTAGCTTGATGTGGCCATTCCACAGTGTATGCCTATTTCAAAACATCCTGTTATACATCATAAAGTACAGTTTTAATTTTTCCTGAAATATTTTTAAAAACAAAAACCATACATTTAGCTTTGCTTTTATTTTTAAACAGGATAACTATTTATTTAAATATATACTTTTCTAAAATATAAATCAGCATTTTAGAAAATAAAAATGATTTAACTTATATTTTACTTCTTAGAGTGACACATCTTTTTAAACACTATATTTTTTCTTAATAAATCCTTGTCCTATCTTTCAAAATTATATTCATAAAATATATATGATTCAAATTATTAACTATTTACCTGTGCTCCAAAAATCACAATTTTTATCACTAATTCCAGCCTGCTGCTATGGAGGTTACAAATTAAGAACCAGAACCTCTGATGACTGGAAGTCATTTTATATGAAAGCAGCAGTGTCAACAAATTATTGTTTCTTTTCTAATTTTTAATCTTTTATAAGATTTGCAATAAATATGAAGAGATTATTTCAGAAGATTATACTGGTTATTTAAGTACCTGAAAAAAACCAAAAAAAATTCATTTCTTCTCAATGTTTGAATAGAAATACCTAATATACGTAAGATAGAAAACACGCAGACACACAAAATATTCTTTTCAGCCCCCTCTCTTCTTCCAGTAGTAGGTCTCTTATAAAATAATGATCAAATGTCAACACATAAGGATACTAACTTCATGACAGTGCTTCAGGAAATATAGTATCATAACTCCTTGATATAGGTATTATTTTTGAAATTATAAAAATGAGGAAATCAAGGCCCATTATTAATGTCATAAAGATGATATATGATTAGTTACAATAAGAAACAATAGCTGCTTTTTTCTTGTTTCTTTAACAGAGAAAAGAAAACGCCTGAACTTCTTTTGGTTAATCAAGACTGCAGTTATTACGTAAAAGGCTGTGGAAGATTTTCTAGGGAGATTTTGAAGATAGGGGAACATTACTTGGTTTGTCATTCTCCAGTCCAGGTATGTGGGATGGCCTTTCTGTTCCAGTGCCTCCTTTTTAAAGCACAACTTGATGTTCCCTGAGAGACTCTAGTTCAGCTATTTTAAAATATAGATGGCTATGCTGTACGTGTAAAATTTGGGGTACCTGACATCAATCAAAGACGTGGTTAAGCTGTTTATACTTGAGAATTACCAATCTGGAAAATGACTTCAAGTATCTTCAAAGAAATGAACTCCAGATTCATATGAAAGAATAATTGAATACTAATAGAATGTATCTTGTTAGGGTTAACCAAAATGTGGGCATTTTACAGCAAACTGTTGCCCAGGAAACACCACTTAACACATTTAGGTAAGTAACAAAATTACAATCCGTCTTTGGTGCCCAGAGCAGTATTAAGGATAAATAGAAGATTCTCAATGGCTACTTTAGATTGATGAATGTCAATACTGTATTCAGTGACTCAAGGTGAGAGCTTTGGAGAAGCTCGTGTGAGGAACAATATATTGGAGAGTTTGGCATAAAATATGAACAATTAAAAGCTCTTTGAACCTTTTTTCCTTATCAAAAGAACCCCCCGACCTGAGAGGAATCAACAGAAAGGAGAAAAGTGTTCAAGTATGTTTTCTCCAGGTCTGACAATGTTTAAGGCTCTTGGAGTTACAGCAAGAAAAGGCAATGGATCAAGAATCATTAAATATTTCATTTTTGAAGAGGTACATGATATCTCTACATCTGTGAGAAAGAAGTAATTGATAATGTCTGACTCTTTGATTACAAGTGTAGGAGAGGTTTAAGTTTTAGGATATGGTGGCAACTGAGGAGAAAAATGCCAACTTAGAGGTGGTAAATAGTTTAATTCCATCCAATTACAAAGAAAAGAGGAAGGAGAAGGGGGGTGATGAAGGAATCCATCCATCATGCACAATACAAATAAAGGCCTGTCACTCATTTTCCTAATGTTGAAAAAAGAATTATTTAGTAATTTTTGACACCAAGGAAACCATTTGTAATAGTCTTTCTCACTTTTCAATTGATCCTTAAATTTTAAAGAAAGAAAAAGCCTCATTCAATTGTTTCTATTATGTCAGTTCATCATTTATGAATCCATGTCAGTGTCTTAGTTTTTTCAGTGAAATAGCTAATTCATATCGTATTTGTAGTCACCACTTCATAGTGAATCACTGCTGTTTGATTTAGCCTGTCATCTGACACAGAACATCTCAAAACCATTTGCATCACTCTTCTTGCTCTGATCTGCACATATGGTAATAATTAGGAATGCGATACCTTATATTTATTTAAAATACTCAGTGAATTTGGAATATAGTCGGGAAAACAGCGTAACTCATGTTTCACAAGAAACAATTGTGTTAAACTATATGAACTAAGTTACAATTATTAATTATATATAGATAAAACACCAATGATTTCAGAGCATAGATATAAAATATAATTTTTATGAAAACAAATTTACAATTGATATATTTATAACTATCTTGTATAGAATGTTCAAAATACAAACTAAATGCATACTGTAGCATATTGCGTTTTATATCAAAATTTTTCTTTTCACAACAGAATACCCAGGAGACATTTCCTTTCCCTAAATATAACTGCAATTTTCAAGTCCTTTTAATTCACACCTTTAAATGAAAGGGTTGAGTATACAAGGTCAGTGAAATTGTTATTTATGGTTGAAATGTTTTTGCTACATCTATTTTAAGAAGGGTCATTTTTCATTTCATTTTTAAAATTGGTTTAAACTGTTTTGCTGACTATACAAAATTACTCAATGTGCAAGTAGCAGTTTCCTCCATTTACAAGCCTAGATAGCCTAGGAATTATTAAAGATTTTATAATTAAGATGATTACATTAAGATTACATAATTTGATTGTTCTTATATTTATGGTAATCGTCACTTTCTTAATTATTTTACTATTACTATAAAAATATTTTCCTCTTAAATGTGTTTCTTACATCTTTATTTGTTTTGGTTTATTTCTGAGGAAAAAATACAATGTCAATATTTAAATTGCTCACTAATAGACAGACTTTTGCATGTCAATGCCAATATCTTATGTTGAAATGACCTGTAGTTATGTAGATCCTTGTTTTGTAACTGAAACAAATATCTCCAAAGAATATCACTGCTTACAGATTCATTTTCCCTAGGAAATGTACCACCCAACTTAGTTGGTATTTTTAAAATTATTATTATTTTCCCATTGAAGTTCTGCTGAATTCAAAATTAATAAAAACTACTTATTTGTGAATATTTTTATATATTCAAATGCATATTTTCAATTCTGGTCAATATTAGCCACTCTATTCTCTAAGCTAAGAAAGCACATCAGCCTTGTCATGCAGACCAGCATAAACTGCAGATTTGTGAGCATCTGACTGCGGGAAGAACGAATTGCTGAAGCTAAACTAGACTATTAGGAAGACTTTCAGCGCTAGCCAGTGTTCTATTCCAGGAGTTAGGGAATTAACATACAATATATTTCAAAATTTAAAAAAAGACATTAAAAACTAAGCAAGATTTATTAATTCTATTGGGAAATTACAAGAATTCTGGAAGTGAAAATTCCTGTATTTGTGATTTTTTGAACTGCACACTTTGTGAAATGACTCCCACTACTGACCTTTTTCTAAGTCAAAGGGGATTTCAACGTGTAACTATTTACAAGTTAAAATGAGAAGGAAACACGTCTCTAAAAAACAAGAGTTTATCATAAGATTGAGGAAAATAGTCAAAACAATGACTACTGAGAAATTATTATGATTATTATATTGTTATTATTTTTGCCCAAGGTCTCTAGGCATTTGAAGAAGAAAGATTAAACAAAAACAAACATTTCATTTGTAGGTAGGCTCAAAAAATAACTGACTAACCTTGACCTCCATCAGCACACAAAATCCTACATAGCCAATGACAGACTTCATTGTTTAAAGACTACTTGGGAATGATTAAGAAAAAGATGATGTAATCTAATATGTGATAAAGAGAGATATAATATTCTCTACTGGAAGGCATTCCTATCATGTCATATCAAAGTCTAGCAAAACGTTGAAAGTTAGAAATGTTATCAAGCATTAGCAGGCATTTAAGAACGTCTCTTGAATATTTCTAACATAAAAAAGTATTTCATGTGATGTAAATGAATGGTAATTTTCTGACTTTAAAAGAGAGCTGTGCCAGTACATTTCAGCGTTCTGGACCCAATTCTGCAAACATGGAGACGCTTTCAATTTGCTCTGCCTGCCTTCCCGCCTTAGATGGCTGCGATTGCAGCGAAATTAATCCATTTAAAAATCTGCGGCTTAAACTTAAGGATTTTCAGTTTTTTTCCCCCTTCTCTCTTTTTTTTTCTTAGAATATCAATAAGTTCCAATTGAAGAGCGGATTCTTTTGCAATTCAGGCATGTGCCGGCGATAACGGGCGAGTTGGCATGAAGAGAGGCAGAGATGGATTAATTATGCAGAGAACATGGAAATTCTGCTTATCATCGGCTAGCAAAGGAGCCCGGCTCACATAATCAGCAAACGAAGGGAGAGGAAAAAATAACAATGCAATGGCACCTTCCAGCCCATCATCAGGATTTTTTCTACCCCCTTGTAATTAAAAAATAACATACACTTATAGCCCTATCTCCTGTGCAGGCAAGGAGTGGATGTCCACAAAATAATTGCACTGGGATATTAGAGCTGGCGACACGGGCTGTCCATTCCGGCTTGCTCTCCTGCTCACCCTCTTTCTCTTTTGGCCTCTCAAGGTACTTTGCTTCTGAAACCAGTCCAAATCAGAGGGATGTCTCAGGTGACATTCTAGCTCGGTTTCCAAAAATCCCAAATTGGTACCTTATCATGATCCAAGCAAACATACATACATATATGATAAATATTTGGAGGGCTGACTCTAGGGGAAGCTTTGGAACTGATCACCTGTGGACTATCTGGTCAGTTTCATTTTTGATGAAACATGTCCAAATAGCCTTCATTTTGCAAAGTGACTGGATTAAAATGGTGGCTGTGCAATGACTGTGCTATCTTCTCAAATCATTTAACTTATTTACAACTTTTTGTTTCTATTAACTTTGCCAACTCATTTTATAAATGTAAGTTAATGATTGCAATGTTTGTTCCTCAAAATCAGAATTAACAGTTCTCTATTGTCATTGTAAAATCTGACAGCTCAATGCTTTGTATTTCTCTAAATGCCAGAAGACTACAATAAACCTAGTTTATTGCTTTGAATAAAATAAAATTTAATCTTACATTTGTATCCGTTGATTTCTAATTCTGAAAATTAAAATGTAAACACATATGTTAAATAATTATACTCCTGATTGAATGCCATGAAAGTAGGTTTTGCTGTTTTAATTGTCACTCAAATAATTTGACCTAATTACATACATAAGCCCGAAGAAGCTCTCTGGCCATGAGAGAGGCCATTTCTTACTAAAGAGTTACTGGAGAGCCAGAGAAACAGAAAGATAAATATAAACCTGGAAAGACAAAAATTATGCAACACATGAAGGAAAGATGTTGTTCCAAAGTGCAGTAAACTGAATTAGAAAGCTGGCAGACTCTAGAAATGTAATTTATTCATAGAGTTCCACCAAAGCAGGGAACCAGTGTGGGGCGCAGTTTACACGCTTGTGGGAATGTTTTAAGTGACAGTGACAATAATAGACTGATTTTTAAAAACTAATTATTTCCATGTCTATGCATATGGACACACACACTCTAGTACATATGAGTATTATCAAAAACAAGCACTGAGTAAAGGATCAAGTAACTGTTTAGAGATATTTGTGATTAGGGACTTTGTTAGTTTCAGAGAACGGAGAGAAAATAAAATCAGAGAAAAAAAATACTCAAATAGGGGTCAGGATAAGGGTGAAGAAAGGGAGAGAAAAGAAAGAAAATCCCACTAAAGGGGACAAGAGAATAAAAATATGAGGAAGAGAACAATGTAACTGTGACAGTAAAAATTATAATTTTATGTCTAGTGATTGTGTAAATGTATACATGTAAGACATTATATATATATATATATATATATATATACACCCAGAGAAAATAATTCAAATCTATATGCCTACACCAAGAGTTCTCCGAATGCATAAGGAAACCAGATTTCTCAGAGCAGAATATGATTTACTAGGAATTTTGGAGCACAAACACAAGAAATAGGGGAATACAGCTGGGATGATTTGGCCATCCATTACTAATTAATTTCTACTACCTTCCTACCATTTAGTCCCCCAGAAAATATATTTAGCATCTCTTTGACCTAGCTTCTTAAATGCACTCCTACTATAATGAAACTTACCCTTTGAAGCTCCTAGATAGAAGATACTAAGGGTCTGGGTAGTGTGGCTCATGCCTATAATGCCAGCACTTTGGGAGGATGAGGCAGGAGGATCACTTGAAACCAGAAGTTCCAGACCAGCCTAGGCAACATAGCAAGACCTGTTTCTACAAAAAATAAAATAAAAAAAAATTAGCCAGGGGCAGTGGCATGTCTCTGTAGTTTGAGCTACTTGGGAGCCTGAGGCAAAAGGATTGCTTGAGCCAAGAAGTTCAAGGTTGGAGTAAGTTACGATTCCACCACTGCACTCCAGCCTAGGCAACAGAGCAAGACCCCGTGTCAAAAAATATATGTGTCAAAAAAATAAATAAGTAAAAATTAAAATGAATCAATAAATGATATTGATAATCCATTAGCAGTGATGAATAAGTCTTGCTAGGACCAATTATCAGACCAAATTTTGATTTTTTATATTAGAAGGGGAGAGATAGTCAGAGCTAGCTTCTCAAAATGACACTAAACTATAATATAAAGTTTTATATTCTTTGCAAAATAAATTATTAAACTCTTGGACTCCTGAGAAACTGATATTCTTCTAGGATCAAAATATTAAGAGCTAGTTCAGTTCAGTTAGACACTAGAAAACAATTTATTCCAGGCTTACAAGATGAGCAGAGAGTCATCTTAGTTAATATCCAGAGCAACAGTTGGTTTTTTAGATGTAATTCTCGCTGGGTGGTCCAGTGTTTTTTAACCCTGGCTGTACAACAGAATTCTCTGGGAAGCTTTTTAAAAAGACTTATGCCTGAGCCACATCCCAGATACATAATTTTTTAACTTCCCAGGAGATTCTAACGTGCAGCCAGGGTTGAGGACCAGTCTGTCTAGGTTCATTCATTGCCCTCCACTGAAGTCCATTTAAAGCCCAAAATATCTTCAAGACTAGGGCAGTCATCAAAGCAAACTAGGATATGAACAACATGGGGCAGGAACCATACTGCTTGCTCTACTGCCTTCCCAGCATCTAGCCCGGTGGATGTTACGTAGAGGGTTCCCCCAAAAAATTTTGATTGAAAGAAAAAAGCAAACAGGAGCCAGAAAGACAAACCTTTACACCCACCTGTCATCACAGCTGTCTCCTCTGCCCTACATCCTGCCCCATAAGTCTTGACAATCTGGAAGCTTTCTCAAGGTTTTCTGAAAGCCTGTGCTTGAAACTTTATAGATGCAGCACACTTCTACAATCTTTTATACTTTCCTGAAAACATGTCTTAACATCTTTTACAAGAGAAGGTAGATAATAGAATTCTCAGTAACCGTAACTGTAAATGGATTTGTAATCTACCCATGATTAAAATTATTTTCATCATGAAGTAGAATTCTCATTATTGTTGCAATTTTAATATTATCAACTCCAAAGTGTCTTGGTGATTGATAATATAGACAGCGAAACCCTATATTATAGTAATTAAATTTAAAATGAATCAGCCATCCTTATATGTCTCAGTATAGTACCTGATTATTTGAAAACAATTATCTTTGCATGTCACCTAATGCCAGACAGCACTTGGAGCTGCTCCCAGGGATTGTTCTGGGTCACAATGTTTCTGCCTAGTCTAAATACACAGATACTGTGTCTTAGGTGCCACGATGAATATTTTCTCCATTAAAATACATGACCACCACAAAAGTGAGCTATAACCCAGAAGAAATGCAGGCCTGAATCAGGAAACCTTTGAACAAAACCTTCAGGCTGAAATGTGCATTCATCATGGGTAATTCTCACTGACTTTAAAGGGAACCAGTTCTCTAGGAAACCCCAGAAACCACAGGCCTAAGAGCATATCTGACTTTGTGGATGAGGCTTTTCTTTTCTGATCAGAGCCAGGATGTAGTGCATAATGCTTTCTTGATTGGACTAATTGCCCTTCAAAGGAAATGTCTCTCTTCATACATTAAATTAAATAAACTATTACTATATTTCCCAGTGTTGTACCTTACTTCCCTAGTTAAGATGTTACAGGAACATTCATTTCTCCACTGCAGGAAGAGATTCCTCTGCTTCTCTTAATCTTACACTTTTTTGCAATCCTTTTTAATAAAAAAAAAAAAAAAACCCTTTTACTGCATGCTCTATCCCACCACCCTCCCCACACACATTTTGGAGAAAAAAATTAATACAAAAAAATTCTTCCATACTTGGTTCATTTGCAGATTTCACCAGGCTTGCAAAAGCACACCTGTTGTGCTGTCTGGATTTCCTTTTCTGATCATAGGCTTCTGACAAAGGCGGGTGGGGGGGGAAGAAAGATTTTTATCAAACGCTCTTCACTGGACAATGAATTTTCTTCACCATTTGAATGTATCTGTGGAATGCCTGAGTGATTCATTACAGCAGATTCTGAAGTATGACAATGGGCCGCAGAAATGACTGATGGTATCTTTTTCCTGATTTCATTTCCCTGATCCTCTTCATCCCTTGGCCTGTGTACCTCGATTAATTAGAAACCAGGGATTTTCACTCATCAGCTGATGGGTTTCATGCTCCACTCTGTCACAAATCTGCTGCCTGCACTATCTCTCCTACAGCCGGTGGCTGCTTTAAAAACTTTCCCTTCTTTTTTTTTTTCTTTATTGAAGCAGTGCTTTGTGACTACAGGTTTAGGTCTTTTAAAGATTCAGACATATTTTCAAAAAAGAGATTAAAATTAAAGTAGAGAAGATTCAAAATCTCTGATTAAGTTAATCCCTATCCAAATGATACTTGTCCAAAAATGAACTTTTTGAAGAGATAATAATATAAATGTTTCATAGCTCTCAGTTAAGTTCTTTTCTCAAGATATAATAATTGAAGTATTACAAAAAGACCGAAAAAATATATAAATATAATTTTTATGTGTGAGCCCAAAAGCACTTGTGTTTATTTCTCATGCATTTGGGGGGGTACCTATACTATATTTTAGAACTCAATTTCATTCAAATTCTAGTTGAATAGCCATTTAATAACAGCATCCTCAAATAAATCTTTGAATCACTATTGTTTCTGGAGGAAATATTTTATAATTGAAATATGCTCCCCCTTGCGGTAGATACCAAATTAATCCCCAAGGAAGCAAATTATAATTAAATAGTATTTCAAATGCAGGATATTTGATAGCAAAACTCTCTAAAATCTAAAATAATGTGTAGTTAAAAGGTAAAAAACATAAATTATTTTTACTCAAGAAAAATAATAGCTAACTGATACTACAGGATTATTCACTGGAGTATTTTTCTCCATATTAACTTATTTAAACAACAATTTTGAAAGTAGTCACAGAATTAAAATAAAATTTCTCCATTTTAAATGGCCAGATCCATCAGACTTGAGGAGATAAAGTATATATTTGATGTATATCAAATGTATTTTGATATATGTATACTTTGTCTACTTATCATGAGGAGAAGTAATATACATTTCCATCATTTTACCCACAGTAAAAAATTTGGCATCAGAGACTTCATTCTGCATGTCAGTTTTTTAATTTTGAAAGTTATAATAAGAAAAAATAAGAGCTTGTGGAGAACACTTAACCCTTACCATCTGAAGATCAGTGTCCTTCTGTCCACGCTTCTCAAGAAAAGACTATATACTTGATAACTGTTGAATGACCAATGAGAGTCCTGATCGGTTTTGAGGGCAAGCTTTATCTATCATGACTACTCTAAAGGAAACTACTATTAGTAGTTTGCTTAGAAATTCTTTTATTTGGGGTTGAAGGCAAAACAAAAAGGACAACAGGAAGAGCTAATATGCTTATGTTTCTGAGATATAAGAAGGGACATACCCAACTATGCTATTAAATCTTTGTAGCACATTTATTTACATATATTGAAATCTAAATTACCACTGCTGTTGTTTACACAGCTCTAGTCAATAGTGTACCACAAAGTTGTATTTTGTTCCAGGTACAAGACTAAAT